CACACTTATTTATTTATTTATTTATTAAACACTGTACCAATAATTGCTGCTCAGTCCTCAGAACAATTAAAAATGGATGGCAGACAAGTGGTGCCTCGGACCGCCGAGTGCGATGCTGATGCAACATGCGGGCACAAACTAAACCCCGCACCTTGCGGCTGCAGGGGGTAACTGGGAGCAGGTTACTGATAAACTTCGAGGGCGAGGAGCTGTACAGCCTGCTTTGAGTGGCCATGGGCTTTGCGCAGCAAGGATCCTAACACCGATTGCTGCGATAACCCAGCTCGAGTGCACGCGATCCGAGCTATTTCCGCTAAGTATGTTGATGTTACAGTAAATGTGACATGTGGGTGTTGATGGAAGGGACATCGTTTTCAGGCCTGCTTTGGGCAACACCCTGACAAGCAAGTCACTTATTTGTGCTCACTCCTGAACTGGGCTGAGCTCCTGGCTGTGCCTCCAAGGCAGTGGTGGCTGTGTGCAGGGAGTGGGGCCGGGCCCCTCATGCCAGGGCATGCAGACAAGTGGCTTCCCTGGTCTGGGTGTGACAATTCGGGCAGCCCCAGCTTGTCCTGAGGGTTACCCTGGGCTCAGCATGGGCTAAGGTAATGGCAGGGTAGGCAGAGCACCTGCAGCTCTTCCCCGAACCCCCCAGCATCCATTTGTGACCCCGCTGCTGAAACAGAAGGCGGCAAGGAAGTTCAACGCGCAACGCTTCAGTCCTGTGCCAAAGTACTCCCTCTTCCTCCTTTCTCTGCCTCCCTTTGACACTGTGGGAGTGGAAAAATAAGGAAGAGAATAGGTGGACAACTTTTTGATTCCTTTGCACCTTTCATTCAGCAGTGCAATAAAAGAACAAGAAAATAAATCACCAGTTGGATTGGACCCGGCCTCATCCAAAGCCCACAGACAAGCGTCTACAGTCTTGTCTTTTGAGGCCTTTGAGATGATTTTGAGTAACAGACTTTTCTACTATTAATGGGCATGATTTTGAGACATTTGACAAGCAGAAAGTACTTAGCATGTGCATTTGCTTTAATATTGGGCATAAGAGTATTGTTTGCATGGGGCGCATATGGTGTAATGATGTCACCACGCAGAAAGAAGAGTGCTGGTGGTTTTGCGACAGTGCCTTTGTGGAATTAGGAAAATTGTCCACTGCACGGTAGGCAGCCAGAGAGCTTTGAGATGCTTCTAAGGGCATTGAAGCTGTCCAGCAGCAAGTGTAATGCCTTGCAAAGCAAATGATTTAGCTTGTCCAGCTGCATTAATTTTATGAAGCCATCGAATGACAGCAGTGTCACTGATGTGCCCATAGATCACCCATCCCCGACTCACTGTGCTTCCTCAGAAGGTGGTGCAGGGCTGTTTTGAGGAGTCTCTGGGTGCAGCGAAAATGCTGGGCACACCTCAACACACCTGGGAGAACCAGGGCATGAGTCCTGGCTGGAAATAGATTGTTTGCATTTTTTTTTTCCTTTTCCCACGTAAGACAGAGGAGATGTTTTCCATTCTCCTTTTTTGTTAGGCTTGATTCTTCCTTCTTAAAAAAAATAAAATAATAATTTTAGATAAATACTCAGGAGGAAACACCCTCCTTCCCCCAAACCCAGCTACCAACAAACAGAAATAAAACCACAGAGTTAAATTCAAATAATGTGAAGCGACTTATTTGAAACCCACAGACACAAGTGGAATCAGAACTTTAGATTGAGACTGGCCTAAATTGCCCTATTGGTATTAAAGGACTCCTTAAACAGCATAAGATCTTGGCTGTTGTATTAACTAGGCGTGACCCGATGCGTTATGGGCTGGACTTCCAGGCTTTTTTCTCTTTTCCTTTGTGGGTTTTAAATCTCTCCTGTAATGTTACTTGAATGTAGGTTTTTAATGGCTTAATTGAGTTGTCAATAGGAAGCCTTTTCTTTTCTTGTTCTTTTTTTTTTTTTTTTTTTTTTTTAATTCAGTTTAAAAAAAAATGCAAATTGACATGGATAAAATGCATTTGAAGATCTATTCAGTATTTTGTTTTTCACTCTTTTATGTCTGTTTTCCATGTCCTGAAAAAGGGATTGTAATATAGCTTCTGCATTGTTGGGTATACGACTGGTCTCCTGCTTGATGATTTATTAAGCTAAAATCAGAAATAGAGTCAAGTAAAAAAACCTTTTGAGAGTTTGAAACCCAATTACTACTGATCATGAGGGCTCAGCGTACCAAGAAAACGAAAAGCTGATTTTCGGTAATGTGGTGACTGCCAAAATATGAAGGAATACCAGATGTTATTTTAAAAAAGTGCCATTGCAGAGTCCTTGGAAAGAGAGAGTGAGAGAGTGTAAGTGAATAGGCATATGTGGATTTAACTAATATTCAAATGAACTGTAGAGCTGAAAGGAAAGAATTCTCAACAGTTTAGCTGCTAAAACCTCCTTCATGTTTCCAGAGACGCATGGTCAGAACCCTTATCAAATGCAGCACTTTTGCTACATTTTCTGAAGCGCAATTTAAATCACAGGGAAAGAAAAAAAAATCCTCACATCAAAAAAGATAATAAAGTTGAGACCTGTTCTTTTCTTTTTATTTGTTATATATATGCCAAAATTCTGCCTTTGTAATTTGAGAGACAGACTTTAATCTGAAAGCTTTACAGGATTGTTACGTGAAACTCGTAACGAGCATTTTCCTCCTCTGCAACCTTTTCTTCTTCTGACCCTTGGTTCAGTTCCTGTTTTCATGTTGTCTTTTCCAGCTCTTTGTCCCATCTCCCATGTGTGTATATGTGTGTGTGTATGTCCCTGTGTGTATGTGTTTTTTTTTAATATTTTGACACTCTGCTCCCCCTTAATAGGAATTCTTCCTAGAAATAGTGCGCACGCTTCTAAAGGACCCTTTTCACAGTCCTTTTCTTTTGGCTCTAAAATGATGTATATGTAATTGGTAATTAAAGGTGCAAGCTCTCTTCAATATAAACAATATTGCTCAATGTTAGATCATTAAAGGGAACCGCAGCACTAAATAATTACCTTTTGCATTGTGACACACTCTTCACAGACATCCGCTCTCTTCCCGGCAGTCCCTGTTCAGCGCAGGGTTATGGTTGCATTTTCACTGAGGCAAGGAGGCATCTTTTCATAATATAAATTGGTGAATTAATTACATAGTATTGTCTTCAAACTCCTTTTAAACTTAGATTAAGGGGAAAAAAGTAATTACTGGTTTTCAGAACTAGTATTATGCTGTGTATTTGGTAACCTTGGGGTGAGTTAGGAAACCAAAGCCTTTCTGTGCCTATCGTCTGCTCCAGCGGGATGGGTCGTGCTCAGGCACTTCTCTGGGGCATCAGTCCTTTTCCTGCTGCTGCTGGTGCTGCTGCTCCCTATTTTGCTGTTAGAGAGCTCTGATGCAACTTGTAATACAGCTGGTAGATACACTAATCAATTATTTATTCTGGAAGAGGAAAACGGGGACGATTCTTTTTCTAAACTGTCTTTTTCGAGGCTCAGCCAGTTTTTGCTGCCAAGTAATACATTTCACCTTCTAGCTCTTGTTCCTTTTTTTTTTTTTCTTTTTTTTTTTTTTTTTTTTTTGTGTGTGTGTGTGTGTTGTGTTTTGTTTTTCAATTTGCTGAAGAACGGGACAAAACTCCTTTTGATTTTGGCCAGGAGGAAAATCCAGATCTGGATTATGACATCTGTTTATCTCAGTCTCACTTCTCTGAGATAGTTGTGTAACTCCCTTTCCCCAGGAAAACCATAAGCAATCCACTCAGGCCAGTAAAGAACATTTCTCCTACTATTCCTTTAATCCTGATACGATTAGAGGTCTCACTCCCTGATTTACATACTGTTAGTTCCTCTGTTTTGTTCAGCCCAAATCCTATAGTCCTTGCAGAGGCAAAACAGCCTTAGGCAAAAGTCAGTGGAGATTTTGCCCAAGTAAAGGCCAAGGTTTGTATGATTTGGCAGTTACACAGCAGAACAAGAGAAAATAAAACAAAATCCAAGTTTTGCCCCAGAAATGGATTGTGATCCACAATTATTTTATAATGTAACAATTACCTTCAAAATACCCATTAAAAATGCACTGTGCCTTATTAATTGTGACATGAGAAATTATTTATTCCTTAGAAACTGATTCAGGTCACTCAGAAATGCTTTCAGGGTCTTTTGGGGCTAATGGTATGGAGTCCATCCGGTCCATAGGCACGATTTATACCAAAAACTTTTATTAACCTATACAGCAACTGCAGAGGTATTTGGCATCAGGAAAATGAGTGGAAGATTTCGGGCTCAGCCAATATTCCTGTACATTAAAAAGTGCTTTACTCTCTTTCCTACTGTACACACTTTTGAACCCCTTCAGCTTCTCATGATACCGCATCCTTCTTACCTTACTCTTTGCTGTATCTTGTACTGATGGGAGGATATTTAATCTTGCTGGTATCTTTGTAAGGGGAAAGGGTGGTGGCACTAATTTTGTGTGCCACCAGAGCCTGATCCTGCTTGCCTAGGGCACTTGAGCACTTCCCTCGCTGCTTTTCCCCTCTCTCTGAAATCAAAGGAGAGATTTGGGTGCATAAGATTTGCTGGATGGGGCCTTGGCCAGATGGCTGGGAGATGCAGTGGGAATGAGAAGGTGGGATAAAAAGAGAGAAACTGTTTCAGAAAGTGACTCGGGGCTTGAACGTTTGCAAAATGGCTCTTTGCTGATCTCCTTACAGTGCTGGCAGCAGTGGGAAGGAGCTGTCAGGAAAGCTATGCCAGGTCAGCCTTTCCATTTTGTTTCAGGCAGGCTTGGTTGCAAAATATATTGAAATCATTCTGGGAGAATGGAAAAGCTGAAAAATGAAAGAAAGATCTAATCAGGCTTGGCTTCTTTTGGGTGCGGGGGGAGGCTGGGCCTCTTGTGATGCATCCTTCGGAGTCTGTGAACATTCAAAGCAATCTCTTTCTCTTCTCCCCTTGTCCCTTTCCTCCCTCTTTCTCCTTGTCCATGTAAAGCAGAGGCTGACCATGTGGAACCGGCACTCGCCGACGAGGATGAGAGCCTGGCAATAGCAGAGCCGGGTGGCATCAGCATCGCCGCAGGCGGGACAGACCCCGACTTATTAACCTGTGGACAGTGTCAGATGAACTTCCCGCTGGGAGACATCTTGGTTTTTATAGAGCACAAGAGAAAACAGTGCAATGGCACTGGTGGTGTCTGCTATGAAAAGAGCATGGATAAGAGCAGCCCTCCCCCCTCCTCACGCGCCGAGCTCAGGAAAGTGTCAGAGCCAGTGGAAATCGGGATCCAAGTCACACCCGATGAAGAAGACCGTCTTCTCACGCCTACAAAAGGAATTTGCCCCAAGCAGGAGAACATTGCAGGTACAGCATGTTTTACACTCAATCAACCGCCTAGGTAATCTTTTAACGAGAGCCCTCTAGAAAGTGCCATGAAACCATGAAACAGAGGCTTCAGTCACAGGTTTTTATACGAGCCATCAGCCTGGAGGGCCCTCGAGGCTACGGGGGGCAAAGAGGGGGGATGCTCAGCAGGGCTGCCCACCCCTTGTCTGGTTCAGCACAGCTCTCTGTGCAGGGCCAGTTCTCTCAGACTGGGGACTCTCGATCCCCTGGGAGAGCCAAGGGACAGCGTGTACACATAAGAAAAAGCAGAAGTTTGGGGGCAGAGAAGCCATTTCAGGAGCGTCCTTAAGCAGGTAGCAGCGGTGGAGGACTCTGGTGAGATGCTCAGTTCAGTCCAGTTCAGATACACTTCGTAACATGCAGACCCACCGCGAAGGATAAAATCCTTCTGAAGTCAGTGGCAAAATCCACTTCCACTGACTTCAGCTGGGGTAGATTTCAGCTTCCTGACCTGAATTACTGACTGTGCTGCCTGTCCTGGGTCTCGGCAGAAGGCTGGAGTTGGGTGGGGGACACCGCCATTCACACACAAACTCAAAATGAGCTTTTGAAAGAGGGGACGAACACGAGCTGGCCCAGATGAGCAGATAGCAGGCATTTCATTTTCCTAACCCCCTCAGATGTGGTGCAGTTAACATTTACTCAGCAGACCCCCCCAGCTCAGTGGTGGGCAGGCAAGCGCTGGCATCCACCTGGGCGAGCTGCTGTGAAATGGCTTCTGCAGAGCGCGGTGTGGGGCAGCTTCCGGCGTGCAGGGCGTTTCTTCTCTCTGCAGCGCAGCGCACGCTGCTCACCATGGTGAAAGGAAGGGCTGTGCTCCCTGCTAGTCAGTGTGTTTTTCATGTTACACAGCAGGATCTTCCCTCAAACTGGCCTTTATGTTCAAATCAGCTGCATCCCGTACAGACCAGTGGCAAGTTGTCATTGCTGCCACTAGATGATTTCTCTAGGAATTGTCCTACAGGATTAGATCTGACAGTCCACAGTCCTGTCTGTAGTAGAGGTGTTCCCATGAAGGGTTTCCCAGAAGACTGGTACTAGGCTCCTATCTTTACAATTAAAACTTTAGCATTTCCCCTTTTTATCACTGGAGGTGTCTGAGTCATTCCCCAGCACCTTTGGTGGGCTTGACCATCATATAAATGAACATGAAGGCTTTGAACTGCTGCAGTCTTCAGATCTCCTTCAGACCTTTAAGACAGGGCATATGCCACACATTGACTACCTTGTTTTTCATGAGTCTGTAAGGGTGCAGTCACCATCTTGACATGGGGAAGCTGGTGGCTTTGTGGGGCGATAGCAGTGACAGCTGCTGTTGTAGCATTTTAAGCATCCCTACTGTAAGACCTGACTCTATTCTTACCCTATTCTTTTGAAGCTCTGAATTCATTTCCTGGCAGAGACGACTCCCTCATGGTGTATCAGCTTTCTGAGGGCTAGGTTTGATGGGAGCAGAAGAGAAGTGTTCAAGAGCTTCTCTTCCTGTCTGCTGAAGGCCTCCTGAATGGTGCTGAGCACTCTCAACAGCACAAGCTGACGGTGCTCAGCCCCTTCCAGAGGGTGCCCAGTGCTTTGTGAAGTTACTCCAGGAGACCTACACTGCAGTTGTACTCCAGATCTCCTCTTTTACAAACCCACGCCCAAGCTCAGTCCATAACAAAGTACTTCAATGGCTACATTCAGCTCAGAGGGTGCCGTCCCATCCCAGCTTCTGGGGGTCAGCATCAGTATAACCAGTGCTTTTGCCATACAGAAAATCTGCTGGGGGAGAGGGTGGAGGTTATGTTCATATGTGGAAAAGGCATTAAAAAAAATTAAAAGCCAATCTGGAGCACCTAATCTCTTTCAGACTAAACTGAATATCAAATGAAAATATGTAGGAAAGATTTTGCATTGCGAAAAATAAAAGGGTTTATCATTTGATTGGCATTTTCTCAGCAGTGCATGGAGATAGGGACATCCACTAAATAGTGCAGTAATAATGCTTTCTCAATTAGGAGCCCAGCTCTGAGATAAAAAGGTGCAGTGTCCTTCCATATTTTTTTTTAATAGCAGCGGATAGTTTTCAATAGTAGGATAAAAGCCTCACATTACAGCCATGGAGGGTAGCCATGAAAAACCCACAGAAGTCATTCACTGGAAAGGCTTTAGTGGGATATACCAAACCCCTTATTTATATTTCAATAGAAAGGCTTTCTGCATTAGCCAAGAAAATCAGAATCTGCATTTAACATTAAAGGTATTTCCCAGTGAGCGGCTGTAGAGCATTGTTGTTAGATTTGTTAAAAAAAGAGACTAAATACGATTTCATAAAAGGGAAACTTAATCTCTAAGGCAGCTTTCTCCCACCCCGCCACCCCCTCCCTTTATTTTTTTATTTTTTTGGTAATAATGCAACAGCCTACAGTATTTTTACTTTATATGTGACGAAAGATATTCTTAGCCTTTCTGTACTGCGACAGGAAGAATGAATTTCTTTATTCCACCAAGAAATATGTAAAATAATCCCTTAGAAGTATGGGGAGATATGTTTGTTCAAAGCATTTAAAATGTTATTTTAATCAAAGGCACAAAACACTCTACATGCTGTGTCAGCTAAAGGAGACCATTACATTTTAACAGCAAATCATGCTCTTTTTCCCCCTCCTAGCCAAGCCCCCCCTCTTTGAAAATAACTTTTTTTTTTTTTTTTATTAAATAAAAAGGCGAAAAAGATTAAAGAATGAAAAAACTTCAGTGGCTCAAATGTATAAAGTAATTTAATATGGTGGAAGCATTAATTATTTTAGCTTAATTGAATTCTGAGGACTGCAGTAGTTGCATTTTTGTAGACAAGCTCTGTTTATTATTTCTTTGTGTAGATTAACAGTAAAGGAAACATAGATAACTTTCAGTTATTTATTGTAAAATAAATGTGTCAATTCATGTGTAAAGCAAGCTGTTCAAAGATAATTGAGTCTTTATATTTGAAGAGGGAAACCAGAAATCACCCACTCGCCACTCCAGCTCCCTGAAATATGCTGCCACCGCTGCTGCCCTCAAATAGGTTTCAGCTACTCTCCTTGATCTTGTGTTATTTTTGTAGACCTTCTTATTTGGTCAAAATGATTTGTGCGGCCTTCTGCTGCGTGACTAAGCCACAAAATGTTACAGCTTCCCAGAGCTGAGCGTAGCGAGGGTACATCAGGCGCTGAGCTCAGCTCTACCCCTTGCACCTTTCTCCCCTCTGGGCGTGCGGGTGCTTCATGTGGTACGCTGGGATGCAGTGTCTCACCAAGAATTAACCCCAATTCAGAGTGCTCTGGAGTTTTGAGGTCTTTCCTTCTCTCTTTCTTTTTGCTTTTCTTTCTTTATTTATTGGGAACTCTGCTTTCTCTGGTCACTGAATCCCTCCTGACCACATAACAGACCTTGTGCCGCTTAAAGGGAGTCAGGTAGAGCTCGGGAATCTGCAAGAATTTGCATGCATGCAATGCAAATCTCCAACTGACATTTCTAGATTTCAGTAGAGACAAAGCAACTTTATCTCTGCAATCAGCTTTTAAAGACCTTCTGATAATGAACTCTGTAATCTTTCCCGGACTTGTAACTTGCAAATCCAAGCTTTTCAAGGCGCTTTCATTTAGTTACCACTGTCCGTAAGGTATGTGGTAACATGTTAGCTGCCACTTGTGAGGACGTGACTTGCTTAGGAGCAGTTTGTCCTGTAAAGGCTTTTTTTTTTTTTTTTTTTTTTTTTTTTTTTTTTTTCAAATTGGCTGACCTGTTTGAAAAGCAGTTCTGCCTCTCATACAGAGGGTGTGATAGTATCAAGCAGATGTACCAGATTATTGCAGAGCAAAACAAAGCAAGGCCAATGAATTAGCTAGGAGTTATCAGCCACCGCTTCTTTCATTTCACCAGTGGCAGGTATTCTGAAAATGTTTGACCACAGATGTATCTTGTACCTCTTTTTAGCTTTCATATTCGTGAGATCTTGGGCATGACCAGGTGACCAGTCCTCACTAAAGAAGGACCTTGAGAGGTGCCTCCTGCTATCCTTTGACTGTTGGTATCTCCTGTCTTCCTCAGCCCTGCTGGGCTTGCTGGCTGCCAGTTTTTTTTCTTCAGTCAGGCTCTGTGAAATGGTGTAGATTAAAGAAAAAGTACCAATTGTCTTGTTTTTAACATTGGATAGTTTCAGAGAACTTTGGCAGAATGTCTAGGAGCAGCTAAACTGTCAGAGCAGGGGTCCTCTGCTAGTCAGGAACCACTTTTACCAGATCTTCTCCCTTTTCTGTGCTTTGGGCAGTGTACCCTCACAGACACATAATGACACCAGCAGCAGAAGTTCATTAAGACAGAGCAGTTAATTTCTGCAAAGACGGTGCAAGGAAAGGGAAGGGGGTTGATTTGAATTCCTCATTCATCCCGCCAATGCTGGGCTCCATGCATTATGTACTTGAACTAGATGTGCATCATGAAAAAAGGCTCCCTGTCAGAGGCAGGATTTAACTGCAACCCCTGCTCCATGAATGTTCATTTCAGGCTTTTGAATGGTAAAACTGCCAGTGAGAGAAACTAAATAACTTGCATGTGCTGGAAGCCAGAGATAAACACCGCCGCAGGTTGCCATGAAATAGGCTATTTGATATATTTAGAATTGTTATTTTTCTCCAAATTAAGATTAGTTAAATCCATGTGTGTTGTGTGAGTGATTGTTAACTCAATGGCATGGATTATCCTTTTTTCAAATCATGACAGCTAATTATTATTGCTGTCTACCCTGAGACATTCACTTACAATGTACCATTATGGACCCGTGCACCCATATTAACTATAGGACTCAAGACAGCCATCGTGATGCCTTCACACGCGAGGGAAGGAAACCACAAACTGAAAGAAACCCAAGGCTGATGGTGGCGATGTTGGGCAGGTTGGCAAGAAGTGTCTTGAGCATTGCAGAACATGGGGCCATC